TAAACAATATGAACTCCCCGTCAAATTCATTGTCGTAGCCTACTTAGTTTCGAAAAAACTATTTTTAACAAAATAGGTATCAACATTAAGATTCTTCTGCTATAAAAAAATTTGAAAATACCTACTGACTTATTTTTTAATGTAATTTATAATACAGGGTGTGTCAATACTATACTTACTTATGTTTATGAGTTTTTATTCATATCTCGAGTTCAACAAAAGCTATTAACATACGGTTTGCTCCATTTTGTTACGAATTTATTCCAGTTCCATTATAATTTACAATAAATAGGTGTTTCCATTAAAAATTTTGAAGAAAAACAAATTAATTTTTTTTATTTGAAGTCCCTCTACTACGACTATGAAAACTAAATCAAGTATTTTATAGTAGATGTGAATTAATTCATCCACACATTTTCCAATGACACTAATTTTATTAAAATCGGTTGGACCAAACCAAAGTTATAGGTATTTATCCACAAATACTTTCCCACTCTCCCCCACCCTTTATTTAAAAAAATAAAAAAAAAGTACTTGAACAACTTTGTGCAGAATTTATGCCCTCTTTCTAGTTTACTTATTTAACACTTGGTATAATTGGACATATTTCCCAAAAAACTGGTTTTCAAAATTTTCTTCGCAGGTTACGCCCCCTAGCGGTTAATCTAGAATCTTGAAAGTTATTTCCAGCGATTTCTCTTGGCCACTTTTATTAAGGAATTTTTTCTCCTAAAGTTATAACATGAATAGTTTCTGATATATAGCCGAGAGATCGGCTTATTGGACCACCCGGTACATACATAAAAAATTTAACTGAGTATTTTAACATTTATTTAACTACAGTTATTTATAGTTTACATTAAGTTAAAAATTAAAGCAATATATTATTTCATATATATATGGTGAAAATCTAATAATATTTAAATATAATATATAATATATATATATATATATATATATTATAATATATATATATATATATACAGAGTAGACCAAAAGTCTGGAAACGCCTAATTAACTCTTAAATGGATAGTCCGAATTATACAAAAACAGGGATAGTACACCTATTTTGCAACATGAAGATTTGATGTGTGTAATGTTGCCAGACTTACTATTTTCTGATACCATTAGTCAATTTGGTTTTTTAAACACAATACCCAGTATATTGTAACTTTACTGAAATCTCCACTTTAATACTAGTTCAACTGTGCACTACTTTTGATTTTATGCAGTCAGAACATCTTAAAAAGATAAAACAAAGGCCTTGACACGCCTAATCATCTCAATCAATTATTTGAGTCAAACTAGGTACAACTAAATTTGAACATAATAATTAAAAGTTTACTAATTAAATATTCAAAATGTCCTCCGTTGTTAATTTGACAGTATCCTAAACGATGGTAGAAAGCGTCTATATACATTTTTCCATGTTTCTCTAAAAAGTAATATGGATTCATCTTCTGGCTTAGTTTTATAAACTCTCCTTTTCAAGTGCCCCCAATAAATATAATATTTAGGTTTCAAATTGAGTAAACAAAGAAGATATTCAATACTACTTAATTTACCAATCCACCGTCTGGGAAAATTCTTATCTAAACAACGCTGAACAATTTATACCAAAATAAGGTGGAGCTCCGTTTTGCTTGAAACCATATTTCATTATAATTGGCTCTAAACTTGTTTTTCGGGGCAGGTACCATTTCATTTCTAAGTAGCATTTCATATAGCTACTAGCGAGTACAACCTGCTAGTAGTAACACACACGTTATATTTTATTAATTTTCAAGATTACTATGTAAAAAATAATTATTTCGCAAAAAAAATTTGCACGATTGTTCTATATACCAATAGTTAGTAGGTTTGTAAAAATTTTGTATAAACAGTGCAGTTACAGCGAATATTTACTGTGAATACCGTTTCACAATGTATTAATATGAAACCAAGTACTTATTACATACAAGAAAAACCGGACCATGTCGTTCACCCCTTTTTGTTGGAACTGCTCGAAAACCATAGCGACAGCTGACCGCAAATTCCAGTTCGACGGCTGTAACCGACTAATACACATCAGTACCGACCTTTCTTCAGAGGTTCGCATCACCCGACAGAAAATTCATGGATTGAGTAGCCTTTGTAACTCTTACAGCTCAAATATTTCTAATATTTCGGAAATAAAAGATCTTCTGCTGGACTTTAAAATGGAATTTTGTACGAACATTGATGGTCTTGATAATAAAATAACTGAATTAAACAATAAGCTCTTCAGAATCATGGTTAATATTGCTGACTAAGCTGTAGATCACATAACACGTGCTAACAATATTCTAATCAGAGGCGTATCAGAAACAAAACCAAGATAAACATTAGGAAATTAAAGGATCCCAACATTAAACAACAAGTACAGGAATCCTTAAGAAGAAACATTGGAAACTTGAGTGAACCCGCACAAGACGCAGTTGCTAAATGGGAAGAAATAAAAAGAGCTGTTAAAATGACAAACCAGACACTTCTGTTACAGGAGCGCGTAAAGAAGAAAGAATGGATGACGGATGAAATCCTTGATATGATGGAAGAAAAAAGACAACACAAATGCAAAAATCAAGTGAAGTATCAAGAAACAAGTCACAATATAAAAACAAAAATAAAGGAAGCGAAGGAACGCTGGCGTCAGTGCGACAGAAGATATGACTACCACAACATGCACAAAAAGATCAAAGAATTAACAGCTAAAAAGAAAACCAATAATCCCCACCCGACACTAATAGACGCAGACGGTAACCTTATATCAGACGACTTGAAGCTCATTGACACATGGAAAGATTACGTAGAACGACTTTTTAACGATAAAATTATTTCAGCGACATTTCATCGCTAAAAAACGACAAAACACCAGGTATCGACAACATACAGGGCGAGATCATAAAACTCGTATGCGAAAAGGATGACCACTTCCTCGATTTTCTGACAGGCCTTTTTAACACCTTTTACGACAAAGGGGAGATTCCGGAGGAATGGCTTCGATCGACCTTTGTAGCCATACCTAAAACACCAAGTGCAAAACACGGTGATCAACACCGCTTACTAAAAGAGGCGATCTTCAGTCTGCAAGTTTTAATTCAAAGATGCAGAGACATGCACAAGGACGTCCACTTGTGCTTCATGGACTTCTCCAAGGCGTTTGACAAGATCAAACATGATAAACTCATGGAAATGCTCAGGAAGATGCATATTGATGGCAAGGATCTGCGCATAATAACCAGTCTTTATTGGAACCAAAGTGCTGAGATAAAGATGGGCAACTTACACAGTGGGAAGATAGATATTAAAAAGGGTGTACGACAGGGTTGCGTCCTCTCGCCGCTCCTGTTCAATATAATACTCTGAACAAATTTTCAGAGAAGCACTGGGAGAAGTTTCAGAGGGTATCAAAGTAAACGGAGAGGTAATCAATAATATTAGATATGCTGACGACACAGTTATTATCGCAAATGACTGCAACGAGCTTCAAAGACTCATGCAAAGCATACACACAGCAAGTCAAGAATATGGTTTAGAACTCAATACAACCAAAACTAAATGCATGCTCATCAGCAGAACACAACAACCTCCGATGCAATTGACATTAAACAACCGAAAAATAGAACAAGTGGAGACATACACATTCCTTGGAACCACAGTCAACACAAAATGGGACCAGTCAACAGAAATAAGGTCACGAATTGAAAAAGCGCGAAACGCGTTCAACAATATAAAAAAGTGGTTCACAAGCAAAATCTCAATGGAACTAAAATTAAGACTGGTCAAGTGTTATGTCTTCCCGGTCTTCACATACACAGTCGGACAATTCACTTATCTGTTACTTAAAATGCTTTTTGCATTAATTTGATATGTATATATCGTCCACCTGTTACACTACTTGCACACGATAATGTTTTCTTTACAAACTTTGACAAACTATCATCTCTTGACAATCTTATCATTACTGAAGATTTTAGAGATTTTAGATATCTAAACATCTCTAAAAACTCTAAAACCAAATTTTGAAGCAGGTGTTATTGAAAGTGGTAATATTAAAGAAGTCTACAAATACATACAATTCTCCTTGACGTCTAAAGTTTCAATTCCTCCAGTTTAAAAACCCAATCAGGCTTTATGCTCTTCTGACAAATAATCTTCAGACACTCTCTCTTAACTAAACTAAACTCTGCATAAAATCTAAGGTTTTATTGTAATTTATAACAGTTTTTGGCCTACCTATTCAAACGCCATCTTTTACTCATCCAGTTTCCTGAAAGCGGTTTACAATTTTTTGTACCGTCGCCTTATGGATAAGTAATTGGAAAGTATCGTTGAACAAGTTGGCTACTTCACTATAAGGTATTTTTCTACCACCCTTGCCCCTCACCATTAAAACCATTTTTATTGTAGAGTTTTTAAAAACACATAAAACAACTGTCAACTTTGGTAATTAATACAATTTATTTTACAAAAATTTTCAAAAAACGTCAAGCTATTATTAGATTTAGGAATTAATGTCAAAATCACAGCATTCTATATCTACTCAATTACTTCAAAACTATTTGGCACTGACAAGTTTTATTTATTTAAGACCTTCGTGACTAGATAAAATACCAAGTGTGACATAAATGGTTGAATTCGTATTGAAGTAAGGAATCCAACAAAAATATAATATACAGCGTATTGTATTTAAAACGTAACTAATGATATCAGAAAACTGGTAAATCTAGCAACATTGCAAGTATTAAATTTGAAATCTCCATAGTGCAGAATAAGCGTATCCCGTTTTTTTACAATTTAAGGTATCTATTTAAGAGTTAATTGGGCTTTTCCAGACTTTCAGTCCAATCTCTATGTGCAGATAGGTAGATATATAGGGTTATAATCAAACACTACAAAAATGAACACGTTAGAAACTCAGAAATATATCACAACACAAATCAAAACGTTTAGCGTAAAACACTCGACACACCCAGGTTTACCATGCAACTGGACTCCACTGCCAGACACCTTTATCCTGCTCATGTCTACATCGGGTACAATAATAGCCTGAAACGGACTTCCAGGTATATGTTGATCATTAAAAGTAATATTTATTCCGTAATCCCCAATTTCAGTAGGTAAGTACGCCACTGAGCAAGTACCGTCACCGTTATCTCTACAATTAATCGCTGCTTCGCAAGGTCCTTCGACGGTGACTCCAAGGCCTCCTTGACCTGCGCCTCGAGTATCTATCATAAATTCGGCAGGTCTGTTCACTATGCCCCTGTGTAATCCAGGGCCAGTGGCTTTTACTTTTAAGGGATCTGAGCCCGTTAAGCAAGTCAGCCTGAACGGTCTATGCGAAATAGGCTCCCCACCAAAAGAAATTCCTAGTAAATATTCTCCTAACTGTGTTGGTGTAAAATTAACGAGATATCCCTCGTGGGTGGGGATTACGTGTGCTTTGACTTTGCTTCCTGATGGGCTAGTTATTGCTATGGAGAATTCGGCTTTACCAGCGTCTTGAGTTATGACTCGGAATTGTTGTAGACTGTTGACTGGGGCCGCTAGGTTTTCAAGAGGAACACAGATATATGTTAAAATGTAGTAGTACCACATGTATATAATTTCATGAATAACAAAATATAAATAATGATATATCGATATGCAATCCAATTTTGTTTTGTTTAAATTTTAAAAATGATAAAATGTACAGCTAATATTGCTTTGTTTTTTTTTAATTCATAACAAATAAAAAATCATTTTTTACATATAAAACGTTTCTTATAGATTAAAGAGAAAAATGGTTCAAACAAAAGTTGTAGATATTAAAAAGTTCTTTAATTTGAGAGTTTACAAATTAAAATATATGAACAATTGACGAAATCATTTTTTGCATTAAAAATAAATGTTAATAATTATGTTTATTGCTAAATATTATGTTTTTTATGAGCTACAATTATTGGTTGTGTTTTTGATGAAAATCAAATTTTTAATTAATTAATATTTCAAGTTTCGATTTCCACTCTGGAAATCGTCCTCAAAAAAGCTTTTTTTGTACAATTACTTATAAATGTGTATAACCAAAGATTTTGTTATTGGTTACGTAATTTTAAAGTTGACATGTCTGACCTAGATAATTTTTTTATTATTTTTAAGAGTATTTGAGGAATTCTACAAAAATTCACACCTTAACTGGAGCCAAATATGGTGATATTGCAATTTGTTGCCCGTACCCCGCAGTAATAATTTTTTTCTGTAGGTTGATACCAAAAAATATGTTTTCAAGTGCGAGCCTAAAAAAAAGGCAAATTTAAATTTTTTCCAACAAAAAACTGATTTGTTCGCTAAAGCTATTTCATTTTTCTTGCGATCTGCCTCGAAAAACGACTGAAAGAGACTTCTATACTTGGAGCACACGTACATATCAGGTACCAATTGCTTCGTCTTGTCTCCAGAAGGAACTCTGACCCTTTGAAGAGTCAAGAAACAGCTGCTCAAAGCGTGGCAAACGGTTATTCAGTCACTAAAATCGACGTTTTTTGTCATTTTTTCGCGATTTACCCGAAAATAGATTAAAAGATACATCTATAGTTGGAGCACACGTACATATCATGTACCAGGTACATATCGCTTCGTCTTGGTCCCCAGAAGGAACTCTGAACCTTTGAAGAGCCAAGAAACATCTGCTCAAAGCGTGGCAAGTAGTTATTCAGTCATTAAAATCAACGTTTTTTTTTTCATTTTTTCGCAACTATACAGGTTTTTTTTAATCTATTTTTGGATAAAATCGCGAAAAAATGAAAAAAACGTCGATTTTAGTGACTGAATAACCGCTTGCAATGCTTTGAGCAGGTGTTTCTAGGCTCTTCAAAGGGTCAGAGTTCCTCTGGAGATCAAGACGAAGCGATTGGTACCTGATATGTACGTGTGCTCCAAGTATAAAAGTCTCTTTCACTCGTTTTTCGAGGCAGAGCACTAGAAGATTAGATAGCTTTAGCGAACAAATCAGTTTTTTGTTGGAAAAAACTTAATTTTGCCTGTATCAACCTACAGAAAAAAAATTGTTACTGCGGGGTACAGGCAGCAAATTGCAATATCACCATATTTGGCTCCAGTTACGGTGCGATTTTTTGTAGAATTCCTCATTTACGTCATGAGCGGTGGTTTCTAAAGATTGAAAATTTGTATTTAAGTACAAATTAGCATTGAATATAATTATTTGACTTAATTCAATCAGATTTTAATGAATAAAACGCTTAAATATGTGTTTCCCTATTTTTGCCACTTAGGGATTGTTTTAACCCCTTAAAAAAAAGCACACTTAGCCCATATATAAATTTTGCAAAGGAAGGTAAGACAACCTTAAATCCAAAGATTAGGAGAGAATTCGGAGGTAAGGTCCTATTTTGAGTATTAATTTTTAATTAATAGTATATATTTATATAAATATCTTATATACTAAAACGCTAAGCCCTTTTCTTGTCCACCACTTTACTCAAAAACCATATTAGATAATTAAAATATTTTTTCGGAATATTATTAGTATTACGTATGAGATTGTCAAGATATACTTTTGGTACAAAAATTCACTTCCGGTTTTGAGATTACCGGAAGTTAAAATTTACTTTAAGTTTTAGACCCCACAATGTATATCTTATACCGGGTGGTGAATCGTCAAACGGGCCATAGGAAACTCAATGGGAAATTTTAAATTGTTGAATTGCTGCTTCCTTAATTATTTTAGATCAGAAGTAATAAAAAACTATTTGTAGAGGACTAAAATCTGAATTAAAAACAAATGTTAAAACCGTTCTACGAATCAAATGTACTTCAAAATTTTGCACAAATATAATACATTTTTCAGGCCACCCCTAAAAGTTAGGCCACACGTAGGGCAAGAATATATATTATGACGTGTGTGGTTTATCATATTCATGATCATATTGATGTCAGATGTTTGACAATTCGATGAATTGTCAATTTTTTTTATTTTATGATTAAATTATAAACAATGCATTTTACTAAATACTACTACTACTGAACAACAAATATTACTTTGTGAACAATAAATTATATTGTTTACAAATCGATCAATATAATGAAATGTACTCAGTTGACGAAAAATCGAATAATGTTGTATTCAGGCAATAGCGCGAACTTTTTCCTGCCACTACCGGATCTTTATTTAACGTAAGATATTCTAATACACTAAAATTTAATTCCATGTTAACAATTCAATGAATTCCAATATACTGTTACTGTGATCTTTGTTCCTAAAAATAATTTATGATAATATCTAAACATAAAACTATAACAAATGTTATACTTTATAAATGTTTTCGAAAGAGCGGTATCTGATCATTTAATAAACTCGTTTTTCGAGAACATGACTTTGCCATTCACCAGCAAGCGGAAGGTGACCGAGTTCCAATCTTAAATCTACCAGAGGCTGTACAAGAAACCCAAGTAACTCCTCCGAAGCATGTAACTCTTCCAAGAAGTATTGATGCGACCAAATGTGTGGAAGATTTATCATGTAATAACATTTCTAATAATAGAGATTCAACAGTGCGGCCACAAGATATTAGCCCTTTATCCACCACTTCCTTTTACAAGTCTAGTATTAAATAAAGAACGTCCAGAAGTTACATATATGTGATTTCTGCCTCGATGGCTAATTTTATCCCGTTATCCTAATATCCGGTATTAGGAACATTTTTTTTGTCAGTCTAAATTTACCGTTTTTTATAAAAATTTAAATTTTATTTTTTACTTCGTTGAAATGATTTATTTTCGTTTCTCTATGGTCTATGTCTTGGTTGTCTATGGTTGTTTTGGTCTAAAATATTCATAAATTATTGGAGGTATTAAAACTAATATTAGCGTTTAAAAAAAAGTATCCGATATTAGGGCACTTTACCCTACGATCATTTTACCACATTATATCTTTAACACCTCTGTATATACCATCTAAAAGTTGAATCATAAAATCTAGATCTTCACTTATAATCTGTTCAATTTTCAGCTCTTAATAATAATAAATAATGGAAATATGATTTTAAGAAAAAAATGCTATCTTGGTTCCTGTATTTCGCTTGTATTCTTGTATTTCAAAAATTATCGATGAAATTTGAATATAAATTTTAATGGATTATCCATGACGTGAAAGGGATTTAATAGTAAAATTTCTATACAAAAATTTTATTAATGTAGAAAGTTTAAAAACTATTTTTGGTTACATTCTGGCCTACGTCCAGTAAGTCTATTATAAACCCGTTAAAAATTTCGCACATTTTACGCAAAAATCTTCGTACATTTGTCTATTATTACAATGTAAATATATTAACTGTTATATCAAATACAACGACGTTCTACCAAATAAGAATCTTAGTTGAAATAATACACATACAGTTGCGTTGTATCAAAACATAAAAAAGGCTGAAATATTATGAAAGGTTATTATATATGATTGGTTTTATACAAATACACAAACGTCCGGATGAAAATAGAAAATTTTGTTCGAACTCGCAATGAGTGACTATGGAATGCGATGAACAGAGTGGTCTTTAAAATTACGGATATTAATTTACAGATCCACAATGAAATTTGTATCATAAAGTGAACAGCTGATTTTGAGCCAACTAAAATAATCTGGTGAGACTGGGCTTGCTTATTAGTGTCTTGCGTTATTTTGAATTATACCGCCAGCTTAATTGTATCTAAACATTGATTGAATGCGAATTTGAATATGACATCAAAAGCCGGTAACTAGGTTTGTTTTCATCATGAGATAAAATTGCAAAGAGATTTCCACAAGCTTATTTCTGTTTCATCGGATCATTTATTTTCTAAAATATTTGACTTCTCCATTCCTTTTCTTTCTCTTTTTATTAGCAGTAATTAATCATCCGAGTGAACAAAACGCACCGCATAAATTTGAGATGGTCCATGTTATAGTCAGCCCGATTCCGGGCTATACAAAAACAGAAAAGACAACAAATTGTTTCAGAGACTTAATTTGATTCTTCTTCTTCTTCAAGTGCCCTGTCCTTTGCAAACGTTGGCTATTAACATGGCAATTCTGATCTTGTTTGCGGCGATTCTAAATAGTTCGACCGATGTGAGCCCGAACCACTTCCGCAGATTTTGGAGCCACGAGTGTCTTTTCCTGCCTGGCCCTCGCTTGCTGTCTATTTTTTCCTGGACAATCAATTGCAGCAAACGGTACTTATCCTGTCTCAATATGTGCCTAGATATTCAAGCTTTCTTTGTTTAATTGTATTCACGATTTCTTTCTCCTTTCCGATTCTTTGGAGTACCTCTATGTTGGTGACATGTTCGGTCCAGGATATACGAAGAATGCGTCGGTACACCCACATTTCCAATGCTTCTAGTTTTCTCGTGAGCGTCTCCGTCAGTGTCCACGCCTCCACACCATACAGTAAGATCGGAAAAATGTAGCATTTAACTAGACGTAGTTTTAGGGAAGAGACAAATCCTTGCTTATGAGGATCTTTTTCATATTGCTAAATGCTGCTTTAGCTCGTTCTATTCTCTCCTTAAT